AAGGGCAGCCCCATGTAGAGCGCATTGCAGTAGTCTAACCAGGAGGTGACCAGGGCATGAGTGGCCATGAGTACATTCCCCTGATCTAGGAATGGGTGCAACTGGCACACAATACGAAGTTGTGCAAAGGATATATATATAAGGCAATTAAAAAAAATAGCCTCCCTTTTGCTCTTCGGAGAGGCATAGCCCTTTCTACTTAGGTAGGACTCTACCTTCTAATTTCTTCTTATTCCATCAAAATGCGGGCAGGTCAAAGTGACAAAAGGGGTCACTTGGGTGAAGAGTTGAAACTTCATTGGACTATATTATACATTTTCTTCTTTGGGGAATTTTTTTTAGAACTTATTTTTGCTCAGTGTCCGGGTACATTTGCTTTTCATTTTACTTTTTAATTCTCCTTTAGATTTTTAACATTTTAGGATCTTTATGTCATTACAATTTAATTTGTATCATGGAAGCACAGTGTATGAAGTGTCATAGAACAGGCAGTGCCATATCATTCGGTATGTGGAAATAGTTCTGATGTATTTCTGATTCCTTGATCCTTACCCAAATATTACTGTTTTAGTGCTCCATCCTTCCATTACATATTGCTGCTATTTATTATAAATTTTTATTTTTTATTATTATTATTATTATTATTATTATTATTATTATAATAAATTAAGGGAAGATGAAAACAACAGCCACAACAAAAATGCTGGAAGGGAAACCTTGCTCAACATTTACTTAATGCTCATCAATAACTATAAAGTCAAGCACACTTCATTCCAAGGCACTCAGATAGGTGCTTGTATTTATATATCTCTTGTGCATGTGCATGTCTATAGCATATGTGTAAAGAGAATATGAATACCATAGATAATCATAAATAATACCCTACATGAAACTAAGGCATGTTCTTCTTTTTTACAATATATTATATTTGCTATTTATTACAAAAGGGTAGAATGTAAAAGCAAGAAATATATGTGTTTTATCACCTTAACATACAATAAAATGGCCCCACCAAACTCCTTTTTTTCCATATGAACTATCAGAATAGTGAGGACCGTAGTAACATCACTAAGAACAACTTGCCAATTTTCCCAATAGAGTTGCTGTAGTACATTTGTCCAGAACAACCTCTGCAAAACTGATGATATAAAAGGACTGATCCTCTTTACCAAAAGGAAGAGAAAAAGATTTCTATTAAAAGAAGAATGTCCAGTTTACCAATAGGGGGTCTAGTTGTTTTTAAGGTATAAGATAGGTGCAGATTGAATACGCTTCCCAACAATCCATGGTCAGTGTGGGGAAGAAGAAAGCACCAGTCATACGCTCCGTGTTTTGTGCTCCTGGCATTGACAGATGCATCTCATCCCCCCCCCCCAACCCTTTTCCAAGATATTAGCTCCGAGGGGAGTTCAAACTAAAAGAATTCTGCTACAAGCTATGTATACACAATAACATCAACACGTAAGCCCCCTTTCACTTTCTCTCTCCAATGCAAACCAAGGGACAGAGTGGGTTTTGTTTAGATCAAGAGCAGGTATCTGGCAAACGGGGACAGTAGGAAAGTGTGATTCAAATGCATCCTTTGATAATTAGGTCTGTGATGTCAGTTAATAGATAATCCTCTCTGTGCTGACGAGAATACATTAGTTTGGAACAAATGCTTACTAGTGTGAGTGCTGGAACAGGCAGTGACTAACAAGCTTCTGAAATTTGTTATGTCAGGAAGGAGGAGGAACTTAAACCGAGAGCTCTCGCTTTTCCCAGAGAAAGAAAACACTGAACATGTATGTGTGATCCTTGTCCTCCGAAGCTGGCAAGATATTGCTTCATAAAGATGGGCATTTGAGTTCTTGATTGTCCTGCAGTGTATTGAAGGAGCTGGTCCTGGATACAGCTGTTGCTTTGGTGAAATTAAGGGAAGACGACAACAGCCACAACAAAAATGCTGGAAGTGAAACCTTGCTCAACATTTACTTAATGCTCATCAGTAACTATAAAGTCAAGCACACTTCATTCCAAGCCACTCAGGTAGGTGCTTGTATTTATATATCTCTTGTGCGTGTGCATGTCTATAGCATATGTGTAAAGAGAATATGAATACCATAGATAATCATAAAAGCAGTGGGTGAAAGAGGAGTGCATTATATGCTTGAGAATAACTCTGGAAAGAAAAGAGTTTACCAAGCTTGAAATGGCCTTTCCTCAGACTGAGAATTATTTAAACCAATATATTTATTTAAAGGTCTTCTGATCTGTAGAAGTTTACCTTGTGAGCCATTTGTGTGTTAAGTTTCCCTCTTTCTCTAACTGAAACCTTGAGAAAAAAGCTTGGCAGTGGCACAAGTGTTCAAAATTTTGGGTCAGTACTTCAGTCAAAATTACAGAGAAACTAGACCCCAGCAAATAAGCTTGGCATTAATTGTGCCATTAAGTTCTCTGTATGTCAGTAAAGTTTCTTTGGATAAGACCTTGTAGTTATTGCAATCAATATGGGGTTTCAGTGATTTTGTGATTAGACCCACTGAGCAATTCTTTGAAGTGTCAAATAATGAGCCATTCCCAGATAATCGTGTCTATTGCCCTATAGCTTTTAAGGGAATATTTTATTTAATCTTTGGGTTTGTGACCCACTCTTTTTGGAATATTAGGGAAGAGCTTAATAAAATAGCATTTACAATTAATTAATTATCAATTTCAGTGTTCCTCATTAGTTTTGGTTATACTACCTTAATTTTTAATTTGCTTTTTGTAAAGGCTTTTTTGTGTGTGCCTTGACTCCTGGTGACTCTGTTGGCAAGTCCATGCAAATTTTTTGGCAGCATTTTTGGAAGTGGGTTGCTATTGCTTTCTTCCTAAGGTTGAGAGAGTCACTATAATAAACTCAGGCTTTTTTTCTTCTCTGTATAATCATGATTTATCTTTTTTCTTTTTTGGCAAGGTAGTTTTTTTTTTTTTTTTGGTATGTCACCATTAAAAAGCCCATGAATTTCTAATTTCCTGAAATGGGAAGTTTATATAAGAAGAGATCTCCCAGTGTACATAGAAATGGGTTTGTTAGTATCCCTTGGGCATCCCACCCATTATTACTTTTAGCTGCAATCCTATGTGCATTTACCAGGCAGTACACTGAAAATGGGGACATGTACAGAATTGCAGTGTTTGTTTCACATTTATATCAATATGAAAAATAAGCATATGCTTATCATTCCACTGGAAAAAAACAACTGATTTCAAAGTATATAGTTCTGAATAGATTGGTGAAATGTATGCCCGATAAACATGCATTTTGGCCAAAAAACTCCCATGTCGAAATTCCAGATGTGTGGAGTAATTGTAGTTACTCGAACAGTACAATGGAAAGGCTTTTTGTGCTCAAAAGAATATTTCCAATTACATCCTAAGGTATCTAATTTAAAATTGCTAGCATTAGAAATGAATTTCTGGGATAAAACTTAACATCCATAAAATGGGATCTTTGGTTATTTCTTAGGTTTGTAACTCACTCTATTGTATTGTCAAGGCAGGTGTCACTCCCACCAGCTGGACACAAAGCCTGAAAGATGTGCTTTTGTGCTGGCTGGAAGGGTCCCTTGAACCTGTGGGTTTTAATCCAACTTTCTGCTGCGCTGAAGGACACTTGGCCTCAGTATTGCTGAAATGTTAATCATTTCATAAGTGTGGACTTAATTCATTATAGCCCCCATTATATAGGGAGTCTCAGTTTCAGTTCCTGATGTCTTCCTTCAAGATCCAGGAGAGCCACTGCTGATCAGAATATAGAACATTTGGCTAGAGAGAGCAATAACTCAACTTAAGATAGCTTCATGTGATCCGTCTTGGGAACATTGCCCCAGAGCTTCATAGATTTAATTCTGGATCCTCTTCAAGTCTTTCCCAAGCAACATTCCACCCCCCCACCCCCCCACCCCCACTGTCCCATGGAAAATAT